TACATACAGACAAACATACATGCATGCATACATGCATACATACATGCATACATACCATACATACATGCATGCATGCATGCATGCATGCATACATACATACATACAGACAGACAATCAAACATACATGCATGCATACATGCCTACATGCATGCATACACACATACAAATCATACATACAGACAAACAAACATGCATGCACGCATTCATGCATTCATGCATACATACATACATACATACATACATACATATCGTACATACATACATACATACATACATACATACAGACAGACAGACAGACAGACACACATGCATGCATGCATGCATGCATGCATGCATGCATGCATGCATAAATGCATACATGCAAGCACATCATACATACATACAGACATACATACATACATACATACATACACACAAACATACATGCATGCATACATATATACATATCATACATACATGCCGACAAACAAAGATACATGCATGCATGCATGCATGCATGCATGCATGCATGCATGCATACATACATACATACATACATATCATGCGTACATACAGACAAACATACATGCATGCATATGTGCATACATGCATACCTACCTGAGGATCTGTGCACGCCAAAGTTGGTGTCGACATAATCCCTGAACCTGATCCCAAAACTTCTAAGAACCTAAACCCTAAAGCCCAGAAGCTTAGAATCATCTTACTCGGATGATCTGAACACATAATGTTACAAAATACTGGTATTTAATATTAGTGCTAAAAAATGCACATACTTCTGATAATATCAGTAATAATAATGATTGTAGTAATGCTAGTCTACCCTGCTAAGCAGGACACTTGGAGGAGGTCTTGGGGAGGCTGTGAACCTCACCGGTCCTGGTCGGCTCATCAGCTAGCGCCACACCCACCTACCAGCTCCCCAGTTCTGAGTCCCTTCATTTGGGGGAGCTCTTGTCCAAAACAAGGCTCCTCTTTCGGTGGAGGAGGCAAAGTTAAGAAGAAGGACTGTGATCCTGAAGCTACAGACCCCTCAAGAATCAGGCCTGAGGTTCTGTGAAGTTCTATCTGCACAAGGATAAGCTAAACCCGAAACCCAGTCTTCCAAATCTCGGCAGTCTGCAGGTAGAGCCTGAGGCAGTTCGCATGTTTCTAAATTTGGCCAAGGACTTTCAACGGCACCACGGCCTCTGAAACAAACAAGCAGACAAGCAGAAAGGCTTGGATCTTCGCACCTGGCCGCCCATGGTCCCCCACAGGATTCCAATGACGTCATTGATGCCGATGAGGCCGGCCTCCATGACAGCTGATTGAGGCTTTCGTCTTGGAGGCTCAATTGAATTTCGGGTTGGGATGCCTGAGTCCCTTAGTTCGGATCGGATCGACGTGCTTCTGGATGTCGGCTCGGGGGCAAAATCTATGGAATTTGCATGAGCTATTGCGGGTCCTTCGGTGACCATATCTTTGTAGCAACGGAGCCGAGTGGAGCCCAAATGCATTTCCAAGGAGGCAAGTCAATGTCAGCAAATATGGGCATCTCTGGAAAGCAGTTGTGGGCTCTGCTGGGCCTGAGTCAACGTATGCTTCGGAGTACGTTTCGCCATGAAGTTGTCATGGCTTCTGAACCTCTCGATTGTGGAAATACCAAAGCAAAGTGGAGTAGCAACGATGATCAAGTCATGGCAACTCTTCCACGGCACACCTGGCAGCCAGTCGCGAAGCCCAATCCAGATGCCCCACCTTAAACTCTGTACAGGTGCCAGAGCACAAGATACCAGCCCACATCCGCGTGGCCTTGAGGCCCATACCCACCAAAATATTCCCTGCTGTGAGGCCACATGACCGTGACACGGCCAGGGCCCGGCCTGAAGCCGTCCGAAAACGCCATACCAAGCAGCCGAGATCGCCGAGGAGAGCCTCGGGCAAGGGCACAGGCGATCGCTTCTTGTCATCATTTTGTATGCGCTTCTAGAAACACTCACTAGCGCCACGGTCAGCGTTGTAGTCTAAGATGGTGCTGAAGCAGCAGCAGCAGCAGCAGCAGCTGCTGCTGCTGCTGCTGCTGCTGCTGCTGCCGCCGTAGTAGGAACAGGAGTAGCAGTGGGAGTGGCAGGAGTAGGAACTGGAAGAGGTAGAACGGAGTATCAGGAGGAGCATCAGGAGGAGGAGGAGGAGGATGAGGAGGGCCGAGATGATGGTAATGGTTTTAGCTCTTGGTGCGGGCGTACGAGCAGCAGAAGCATCAGCGGTGGTTGTGAGGGTACAAATACAAGCCAGGCAGCGCTGGTCTTAGCGGTACACCAAGCCCCGTACCTAATGCGTTTCCTTTGAATGCCAGGGAGAAGGAGGGGATTGGCTCACGAAGGCATAGCAAGCGCAAGGAAATAGGGCAATGTGCTGAAAATGCCGTGGCTGCTTCGCACACGCGCGATCGCCAGTGGAAGTACCGTACTGGCAGTTGCTGTCAAAGCTGTTGCCATCATGTTTGTCGTCGTCGCCGCTGCCATCGTGGTTAGCACCGTGATATGCTTCCCTTCTACAGTTACCAATAACTATGGTATGCACGTGCAGGAACAACAAAATGCTGAAAGCATCCAAGGCACCACATCATGCTGATGCCGAAGGCAAACATTCTGTTCAGCTCTGGGACGTCGGAGGTTGTGAAGATGAGGCTGGCCGTCATCATAGCTGACAGCCCTGGCTAAGGACCATGTCCTACAACTTTAACTACACTGCAAAGAATCCTTTTCGTGGCGTCTGATCAGGTTGATATGGAGTGCTTACAGGGTTGGGTGTAGACCCACACAAGAAATCCCAGCAATCAAGGCTCCCAAACGCCAGGAAGCTTTGAGGGGCTCTGCTGGAGAGAGCTCATGTTGATTTTTCCCCAGTCACGTTGCGAGCAGTTGTGATTTGTACGCTAAGATCTCCGTACTTTAAGGACATGAGAAACTTGTGAAGAACATCTGAAGAGACCCTTCGGAGAATAGAGAGAATCGTGCACCAGTTCAGATTCCAAAGAATGCATTCAGACTGGTCATGTGCTTCCCCAAATGGATAAGAACTTGTTAAGAATCATGGCTCAATACAATGTGGGGCCCGAGAATTCTAATTCCTTACAGGCTCCATATGGAATTCGTAACTCAGACGGCCTCATGCTGGTGGGCAGATCTATACTATTGGGGGGTCCCCTCGAACAATGAGAAACTCCCATCTTGAGCGCTAGACCCCAAACCCTAAACCCTAATAAGAATAACAATACTAGCAAAACTATTACCATTACTACAGCCCCTGCCCACCCTGAACCCTAAACCATGCGAAATTACACCCTTCTTCCTTACGGTCATGCGTCCAAGGCTGAAATCTAACCGGGGAATGGAAAAAATGGAAACTACAGCGCAATACGACCATAGGACGATATAGGAGATATACAAGGTTATATAGGAGTTATATAGAGATCATGGAAAAGAAAATGGAAACTACAACTACTATATTATAATAGGGTATATAATGGGGTTATGTAGGAAGAATGGGAAAGAAAATGGAAACTGCAGCACCATGCTATTTGGGGCTTGGGCTTTGTAGCTAAGAAAGACATGCCCAACATAGTACCATTCTAGAATGGGCGGAATATTTGTAAGGGTGGAAACTTTCGATTTCATCCCGAAGACTTGGTCCATTGTAGCCTGGTGGCAATCTATTTGATGAGTTTGTGACCTGAGAGCCTAGAGTGTTCCCATCCACATCCTCACCATAGGGGCAGTCCTATAACCTAAACCCTAAGCCACAGTTTAGGGTATAAGGTTTATAAGGGGACATGTCAAACAAGCTCCCGCTGAAAGCGAGCCTTGCCGAATGCCGATCATGATTCCGGCGCCAACATTTGCTATGACCAAAGCCTTTTGAGGCTTAGGGTTCAGGAGGATTGTTCAAGACTGCGGGTCCCCCTCGTGCAGTTTAGGTAAGGCCTTCTCATCTCGGGGCATTACATGGGGCGCCTGTCTTAAGAAACGCCCAAACACAAATTTTCGCTGTGATTTTCTGATAATCCTTTGAATCATCATCACTAGGATCTGAAATCATCATGCTGGAGATCTGAGTCATGACAGCACTCGTACTCGTAAGAATCATGCTCGTTGCCATTCCGAACGTCACGACATCTGCTGAAGCCACATGTTACTGACACGTTTGTCTGCTTGGCTCTGCCCACAGCAAGAACAATTGTGGGAGCTTATTCAGGGGTACGTGTACTTATCGAGTACAGAGTCATCTATCTAGTAAGGCGGTTCCGGATTGCAAGGATCACTCTGAAGGACTGGCATAAACACAAGACAAAGACAAACTTGAGAACCCACCCACCCTAATTCTCGAAACCTTGTCGGCGCGTCCATCTTCCAGCGGCACCACCTTGCGACAGACGCAGCCAGTGTTTGATGGCCCAGGCTTAAGAGTCCGAGGTCTTCCAAGGAAGGTCTCAAATTGGGGTCCCCTGATATAACCCGGACCCAAGATCATAGTAATTGACATCCTCATCGCTGGGAACGAGAAAATAGTCCAGAAGCTTCACGAACAGAAACTGTAATGCACAAAAGGCCTTGCCTCCTGCCAGAGCGGCCACCATCCAAACGCGTTCGTCCCTTTCTTGGGCGGCTTCCTCCTTAGCTTGGCCTTGTGACGACTTTACTACTGCTATCAGCATACTAGCGGCATCTTACAGCATACGATCTGCATGACTCTTCCCCTCGGACGCAAGTTGAAGAGTAGTAGGATGGAGGAGGGGAATATGTCCTAGGCATCCCAGGAGATGGATTTTACATCTCAGGATGATTATATATTTCCCACCACACACACACCTTGCGAATCATCGACAAGAATCATCAGCATGATCCAAGCCACAAGTGTAATACATCTGCGGCAAGTTGAGCAGAACTATCGATGAAACAGTTCTCGTTGGGCGTAATGTGGTGCAACTAGTACGTACAGTAGTGAGTCACCGCAAAGATGTCAACGGCAAGTTCACACTCTTTCATGCCGGTCTTGCAGAAGCAAACCAATCACAAATTTAGGACTTTCGGAAAATTGCAATCTCTTTGACATGTCATTCATCTAGGCACCATCTTTTACTAGCATTTGGAGAAACATGCGGGGCACCATTGTCATCACACAATTTGTTGCAATTCAGTAGTTTTCATTAATGATGTCCCTCCCATCACCTCCTTGCTCCGAGACTATGGCGGCAGAATTAGCGTGCCATCGCTGCTGTTGATTGCTTCCTAAGGCCCTGGCAACCCTGATTCTCCTGAACAGAACTAGAAATAATCTGTCTCATAAAAACTACAGTCAACCAAAGACCTTAACTGCAGGCCAGTCTCAACAGCAGATCCATCGTCCGAGACGAGAGTAGGAGGAGGGAGCTATCCACAGCTTACATGAGGCTACGCTGGGAGTGACTTTCATGCTAGTAGCGAGAGGGCTTTAGGAAGGGGCAACGTTGTCATAAGCTCCCGACCTGATTCTGGATTGGTGGCATCAGGCTTGGACGGTGGTTACACGGTTGCATGCACCATCTGTGGGCCCTTGAACTATAGCTGTCAGCAGGAGTCTGCAAAAAGAAGGCAGCATTAAAAAAAGAACTGGATTTGAGGGTAGGCTTATAAGGCTTGCACATTAAGGCGGGGACATGCGACGAAAGCCTTCGTCAAGTGCTGTCGAAATGCAACAGCTGCGAAGGGTAAGGTTCTGCTGTGCAAGAACATCGGCTCCCGCTTTGGACCCCCTGAACAGGATTTCACACCATTGAAACGTAGCTTCAAAAAAAGAAGCCGAAGTTAAGGGGCCATTGACATGTAACCTTCCAACAGTTCCCACGCAAGTCTTGCCTCCAGTAGATCTGTTCGAACGGAGACGCAGGAATTCAGCTGCGGGGATCTGAGCAAAGCTTCAAGTCTTGGGATCACTTTGCAACCCCTTCTTCCTGCTTCTTTACTTGCAAATACCTTTAGCTTGTGAATCTGTGTTGCCTTATCAACCGGAAAATGTTAAATCCAGTGTCTGCTTCATTTTCCTTATTTATTTTCCACTTGATGGTCCATTGTTGTCACGATCCAAACTCAATACCAGAGTATACGCCAGGCCCTAATCCACTCTGAGGATCCAGTTTTCCCCTTTGGAAGCAAGGTAGGTTGGGTTCGCGCAGGGCCTGATGCAGAAAAGCGGTCCTATGTGGGTTTCCTGAAAATGGGGGGTGTGCCTTTGTGGGGTCTCAATAATCAGGAAATAATATTTTGGGGGTCTATATTGGGGTCCCCCGATTGAGGGAAAGTACCATATGCCAGCCACATTTTCTGGCAAGTTTGTCGCACATGTGGCCGCTTGTCTCCTTAGCTGTCGCCAGGAGCCTAAAAAGTCGCGTGCGCGACAATGGGAGAGGTCATCTGCGAAGCGCGTGTGTCTGATGCCTGTCACGTATCTCGGGCTCAAGCATGTGCTGCCCTTTTCTCATGCCTCTTTGCGGCTACGATTCTGCCGTGAGGAGGAGAGCGCAAAGATGGAAAGGGTCTACAGTACCTTATCAGGGCAACCTACTGACACTCAGATCCTAGGAGCGGTGGTCTGCGGTGGTTTTGGCTTTGTCGAGGCTGTGGTTGTCCCACTCCCCATTTCCGCCCTCTGCCACTCCCATGGTTTCACGGCCTGAGTCAATAGACTGTTACTTTGTCATACTTTGTCAGTGGAGGAAATCTTGCATTGTCTGAGGCACTTGGACTACCAAATTTCCTGTGATATACAACTAGAAGACCTCCCTCAGCGGCTTAGCTGGTGGCTTCTCCTGCATCCTCGCCGTCTAGCGGCTTTTAGGAATTCGTCTTGACCCTTTTGCCGCCGCTCCTCCGGCTCTTTCGGCCTGCTTCTACTTCCAACAACAACACACGAAGACTTGCTTCTCGCACGCTGCAAAACCGGCTCTCCGTTCTGCTAATTCGCTGGGGAGCTGAAAGCCTACGAAGGAGCTTTGAGTCCAGGGGTTTTGTGGACCCACGACCAACATCTCAAGCATCATAGCTAGAAGTCTAACCATCATCTAAGCAACCGCATGAGCGTCTAAATGTTGTGAACCTCTTCGCGAAGCCTTAGCCAAACCACGAGGGAATCTGAGATCAGGGTGCATCAAAACGTGGCTCCAATCCGTTGAGGTCCTTTAAAAGACGTCTAGGCTAGTCACTCTTTGTTGGGCTTGCTGCCATTGTCCAAGTGTGGCAGTATACTCAAGAAGCTGCACACTAAGACCACTCAAAATCTTGCTTCTCAAGCCCACTGAGCTCTGCGCCTTTGCCTCGCAGTTCTGGTATTCATCCTTGAAATCTCGCTCCTTCTCTGGGCGGTCCTCCATACCAGCAAGCTTGCGGCGTCAGATAGGCCCTCGTTTTCCAGGTTTCGTCGGAAGCTGACCAGGAACATATTATCCGTGCGCGGCCCGCCCCCCAATGGTTGCCCCGAAGTTCCCCCCCTCCCACCGGTCGTGGAGCCAAGGTTTATAGAGGGTTCGTAGTGTTTGTGGGTGGTTTATGACCTGTTACCCTACCCCATCCTGTGGTCCTTTGGCCTGTGGTCTGGGTCCCTGCGACTACCTCATAATGCGATGAGGCTTCAAAAGCCATGACAGTTGCTAGGACCGTGACGAGGACCGCCCCAAATCCCTGTGACTGTTGCTACTTTTGAGACGCGACAACAGCACGCAGGGCGAAAATGACGACGGTTGAAGGATGACTACCGTCAAGGGCCCCATCCTAGGGATTCTACATGCTTGTGGCTTGCAAATCCCTGGTGCTGCGGACATGGAAAATCATTGTATACTGTAGCTCTCGAAGATCCAAGTGCTCAAAGAACACCGGGGCACAGCCCTCAATTTTCAAGTGGCCCGTCCTGGCCGGCGACGTGGACTGCGCCACGCCTCAAAGAAGATTGTGAAGGCCAACTGAAGCGTCAGCCGCCTCTATATACCCCCAAGAACTCGTCCCTAGCATTGAGACACCAAAACGTCTGGACTGCAAAGCTGCAGGTTTGCAAGCCAAGGCCTGTAAAGCCCAATAATCTTGCCTGAATCTGAACTCCTACCTCCTCACACCGCAAGCCAAGGGACCTGAAGATTGCGTGCGCAGCGCAACTGGTCCACGATCTCTGCTTCCAGCCTCTACAGGGCAGGCCTACAGAGCTTGCCCATATAAGCTTTCTTGCGCACTGAAAGTTTTGAAGCGCAATCATCCTAATTGCACCAAAGTTTCAGGCCAGTCAACACTCAGAGTGGCTCGTAAAGTAGCGTATAAGGAGGATCATGACTTGGCACGTGCGGAATGCAATCAGTCAGGATGTCTTAAGGCCCCAACGCTGGAACCGACAGTTCTGGCCGACGCTGGCAGACCTGAACGCGGCAAAAGAATGCAGGACATGGTTTTCTCAATACCAGGGGCCAAGCCACTCTGCAGGCAGACGCATTCCCACGTCGGTAACCCAAACTGGACACAAGCAGCCATAATGTGACAGCCTCTTTGCGGAGTTGTCCTGGTAGTGCCGGTGCCAGGGACCTGTTACAGAGAAACATCTGCGGCGCGCTGGCTGCTGCTGTGGGTGTGACTTCGGGCTGCATGCTGTCACAGTAGCTGATGCCGGGTCTATGCCAGCCAGTACTGTTGAAGCCTGTCGGTTCCTGGGTCGGGTCCTGTCCATCTTCCTGCTGCAATTGCTATTGCTGCTTCGACTTTTTTCTGACATTGCTCTTGCCTAGGCTCTGCACCAGTCATCCATGCTTCAAGATCCTGAAGATTGATGACAGCAATATCCTCCGCCCCTTTTCAACGGACATGTGCAAGCTGGGCATTCTCCAGGCTGTCAGCTGGCTTCTCGCGCAGGCCAAGGCAGCTGGTGTCTCCCCACTCCCCCTTAAGCACCTGTAAAGAAAATAAAACCGGCTCCACCTGACCCTGGCTTAGAATGTGGCCTCCCACGCAGTGTGAGCATGAGATGAGCTTCTGATTTAGCAAAGCTTGTGCCTAACGGCCTGCATGAAGCCTTCCAGTTTCAAGAACGTTCGGGAAGGATTGCTGACGATTGCTGATTGGGATACCCTACACCAAATTCATCCCCCGCCCCTTTTGTGGTCCTTTGGGGCCCGCTATGAAATTCCATGTCAATTTGTGGGGCAGTGTATTGAAGCTCGACAGGATTGAGAAGATAGACATACGCTCTGCAAGGAATCTGGACACAATGTCGCCCTGGCAGCAGGATATGCAAGTTGTGTGCATCAGGATGGCAATACGAAGGGAGACTACTTGCGCCACCCACTCTTCTGAGGGCCATCTATCTGGGGTATGCTGTACTGACTGATAACTTAGTTGTCCTTGCAGGGCTGGAGGCTGGAGGCACGCACGCAAAAAAATGCTTCGGGCGTTGTATTTGAATGTAACGCCCCTAAGAGAAAGGTGCCTACTCCTCGCCATATTTCGAATACTTCCTTACAGCAACCCAGTACCCTCACACAGGGCACATGATACTGAAAAAATCTGTCTGCACATGATCATGATGGAAACGCCTTCAGAGCAGGCGCCGAAGCGGTTTTCGCGAGTTGCCGGGGCACCTTCTCAAGTTGTTCGGATTCGGATATATAGGGGGTATCTAGGGATTATGGGGTTATATTAGGGGATATATTGGGGTTCTATTGGGATAATGGACAAGAAAATGGAAACTACTATTTAGGGTTCAGGGTTTAAGCCATGCAGGGGTTGTGGACTGAGCTGGCCTTTGGGCCTGTGGGTTTGGTCAAGTTCCTTTGCAGGTGTTGGCTTGGTCATGTGTTTTGGCCATGTAGCCCTCTACTTTACAGAGCAGTAAGCTGTTTAGGGTCAATTCGCGAAGTCGAGTAGGGATATTTAACCACAAGAACCAGCAATTGCTCAAGTCCATGAAGCCTCAGTAATTGATGGATCAGAATTTAGGACTTCTTAAGCTTCCGGGTTTGGAATATAGCATGCGAGGTTCTCAGTTTCCGGTTAGGGCTGCGTTCATGGATGTGCTTGCTGGGTTTTACTACGCATCCTGCATGACCCTAAACATGATACCTTAGACTTTGGCAACTATTATGTTCAAACTTACCAGGATCATGCTGGATTGTAGCACCCAGCAGGGTAGCAAAGGTCCTGGACATGTAGGTACATGCAAGCTATCGGAAAATCTATCACACAGCATGAACCTTTTTGCGTTTCTGCAACAGACTAGCCGGTGTGGAGCATTGAGCTTGTCATCATACAACCCATATTGCACCATATTGAAGTTCAATCCTAATACCTCAACTTCCGACCATTGCCGTGTAGAGCTTGCTGGAATTGATTCACC